AAATATATACGAATTATTAATTTAGAACCATGTAACTCAAAACCAAATATAATTCTGAGCCCATAAACTTTAAATTTTGGCTCCGGCATGCTTACATCCCATTTTATTCCTGCCAAGTAGGTGTATAAATTAGAAGGGAGGTTGGTAATTTATGCTTACATAATGGAAGTCTATTTCTTCATTATCATCTTCCCTCTTCCTACCATTACTGCTCTTAATATTAATTAAGCAGCAAAAAAATGGGAAAAATTACTTGCCTACTGGACCCAATTAAAAAAATTTAAGGACTCAATTAAAAATATATTATTTTTAACACGAAATTGATTCTTACACTAAATAAAAGAAAATTATCAATTAAACTAGAATGTAAGGTAAAGAACTATATTAAAAATGCAAAATATTAATATTTACCATAAATCTTTTGAAATTTTGTATAACAATATACATATATATAGGTGTAATAATAAATTTGGAATAGCTACTCCAATAGTCAGTCTCATTCGATTTTTTTCTGATTAAAACCAAAACCAAACCAAACCAAACCAAAAAGTATTGTTTTTTTTGCTCTGTTTGGTTTGATTTTCGGTTTGGTTCGGTTTTTCGGGTTTTTATGAACACCCCTAACTATAATGCACATAAAGCTAGGTGAACGTTCAACAATAGTCATATCATCGTATTAAATGCTGAAAGAAGTGATGAAACAAGCAATTTCGCATTTGCGTATATGCTGGAGCTCCTTGTTTCAAGAATGTGATCGCCTTCTCGATGAAATTGTCCGCGAACACGAAGCTAGCATAAAAGTAAATAATGGTGAGCCCATTGAGCAAGATCTTTTGCATGTTCTTCTAAGGCTTAGGGACAAGGATCCCCACAATTTTCATGTCCCTATAACAAGAGATAACATCAAAGCTATAATCTTGGTAAGTAGCTACAAGAGATATCATTCGGAAAAATGATATTGCATAGCCGCTCTTAAAATAATAGTCGTAAAAGTTCCTTGGTAAATTGGGGATGTATACAAATTTTATACATTTTTGTGGCTGCCAATAAATAGTTTCGGCAGCGGGCTTGTCCAATTTCTTCCCAACACCTTTTCTTCTTCCTGTGAATTTCCTTTCTAGTCTATTTTGCATTTTTTATTTAGTAACCTTTTAATTTAACATTCCAACAAGGCATGTTTAAGATTAGATGATTCGAAGGGTATTTTGGTACATAATAAATTTTTAGTTTAAAATCACATTATTAAAATCTCTTTGTCACTTAAGCTTCGTGTTGATCAATCAAACTGATATACATAAAATAAAATGGAGGGAGTATTTATCATCATCATCATTATTATTATTATTATTATTATTATTATTATTGTTATTATTATTATTAGAAATTTTTACCTCCTATAGCAAAGGTTAATACCTTATTTATTTTAAATAAATACCATTTAAATAAATTATATTCTATAGATACCTTTTAAAGTTTATAGCAAAATATTTAATTTTGGTTACCTCCTAGCCCTAAGCCACTAAATACGCTAATCAGTTACAATATTTTCTTTATCTCTCTACTTTGATACATACCATTCTCTTTCCCCATCCCATTAAAATTTTGGATTCTCTTCCTCTTCTCTCTCTAGCTAACGATTCTTTCCCTTTCATAAACAACCAAAATCCTTACGAAATATTCGAAGACCAAGAGGAGTAAACGATAATCATGTGTTACGAGGTTAAGTGTTCGGCTTGTGGAAAGATCAGTTGGGGTGGTTGTGGAAGACATGTTCCTTCAGTTTACAACCGAATCCCAGAAGGACAACACTGCCAGTGCAAGGATTGGCCCGGTGTCAAAACCACCGGTGACGGCGAGGGTTCTATCTCCGGCGGTAGTGACAATGGCGGCGGGGATTATAACCCTAAAGAAGATATGCAGATGCTCATCATGAATTTGAAGTATTTGAAACGCAAAACCCATCCCTCCGCCAGATTGTTATCTAAAAAATTTCATTTCTTATTCATCATTTTCTTTCTTCTACTGTTAAACCTCATGCTCTAAGATTTTTTTTCATTGTAATTCATGTATCTCGTTGTATTCCATGTATTTCATTGTATTCACTGTCTTTTTTTCTCATTGTATTTCAATGTATCCCGCTGTATTCTATGTATTTCATTGTATTTACTGTCTCGCTATATGCCATGAATGTATTCATAAGTTTTTTTTAATTAATATAATTTATGTATTTAGGTGTATTATATAATTTCTCTGAAGATTGCTATATTTTTGGGGTATTTTTTCGGTTGATAATCTTTTTTATAACTGAAAATACAAATTTGTGTGTTATAATTGAGTTTGTTTAGTTATATTAGGAGTCTATTATGTTAATTGATTCACTTTCCCTTTTAAAAACAGTGTAATCCTCTATTTCACGCCTTGAATACTGTCGAATACAGTCGAATACAACAACTAATTAACTGGACTTCCCTGATTCACACATATTTTTGTTATTGTATTCATGAATACAATAGATTAAATATATCAAATACATCTTATAACCACATAAAAGGTATCTATAATCCCTAATATAGCAAATGGTATCTATAGATGACTAATTACTACTAAAAGATAGTGCTTTATGAAATTTTTTCATGAATATATGGAACATGGGAAAGGATTCGCAGTATTGGCATTTGGCGCGATCCAGGGAGATTTGAGCCCGGGAGATTTATAGCCTGTTTGGCCAAGCTTCTAAAATCAGCTTATTTTGAGAAGTGTTTTTCTCAAAAGTACTTTTCAAAAAAATGCTTTTGGTGATAAGCAATTTGTGTTTGGCTAATTAATTCGAAAAACACTTTTCAATAGTAATTAGTGTTTGGCCAAGCTTTTTAAAACTGCTTTTAAGTGTATTTTTCTCAAAAACGCTTCTCATAAAAGAGTTTTTGGAGAGAAGTTACTTTTTTCAGCTTCTCAAAAACTCCTTCCGCTACTTCTCAAAAACATTTTTTTCTCTTCTAAAAGCTTGGCCAAACACCTTAATTTTTGGAAAAAATACTTTTGGCCAATAAAAGCATTTTTGGCCCAAAGCAGTTACTATCGAGTTTTTGGGATTTGGATCTGTGAAAAGAGTTTGTCCAGGAATTTCATTTGCTATAACAAGCATTGAGCTTATTTTGGCTAGCTAGATTACTGTTAGATGTTGTAAATCTAGAGAAGAAATGGAAAATGCAGGTGAAGTGTTGCACTTGAGAGAAGCTTTGAGAAGGAGAGAGAAGCCTCAGATATTTCCCATTATCTCAGAATGAATCCGTTCCTCTTGTACAAAGATAGAAACAAAAGTAATAAACATAAATAGTGGGTTTTTGACCCGGTGGCCCAGTCACAACTGATACAAAACTAGAATGGGTCACTGCTAAAACTATTTACAACTAATTACAATAAGAGGCCCAACAACAATATCAACTTTTGTCTTCTAGTAATCTAACAACCCCCCTCAAGTTGGAGGGTGAGAAAACCCCCAGCTTGCGAAGATGAAAATGATGAGCAGGCCCAGGGAGCACCTTGGTAAGTATATCAGCAACTTGAGCAGCAGTGGACACATGAGCCAAGCTGATCAGTCTATCACCAATTTTACCTCTGATAAAATGACAGTCCAGCTCTATATGTTTGGTCCGCTCATGAAAAACAGGGTTGCGAGCAATATGCAATGCAGCCTGGTTATCACAGTATAAAGGAACAAGAGAAGGAGGAAGACCAAAATCAAACAGTAATCTGGAAAGCCAAGTAACCTCAACAACAGCTTTACTCATGGCCCTGTACTCAGCTTCAGCAGAGGAAAGAGAGACCACAGACCGTTTCTTAGATTTCCAGCTCACCAAACAGTCACCCAGAAACACACTAAAGCCAGTGACAGACCTTCTACTATCAGCACAAGAAGCCCAGTCACTATCACAATAGGCTTTTAATCCAAGGTCAGGAGAATTACTAAAGAACAAGCCAAAATCAGAAGTCCCTTTCAAATAGCGCAAGATATGTAAGACAACATGCATATGAGGAATACGAGGGGACTGCAAGAACTGGCTAAGGTGTTGTACAGCAAAACAGATATCAGGTCGAGTGTGTGTTAAAAAATTCAACTTGCCCACTAAACATCTATATTCTTCAGGCTTGGGCAAAAGATCACCAATAGAAGCCTGTAATTTCTCATTGATAGTAAGAGGACAAACCACAATTGAAGAGGCAGAAGAGTCAAAAGACTCCAACAAATCATGAGTGAACTTCTTTTGGTGAAGAAGAACACCAAAATCATAATAAAGCACCTCAATACCTAGAAAATAATTAAGGGAACCAAGGTCCTTAATCCTGAACTGTTCATGTAGAAAACCTTTTAAAGATGAAATCTCAGATAGATCAGTGCCAGTAAGAATAATGCCATCCACATACACAGCTAAAATGACCAAAGAAGAACCAGAACCCCTATTTAATAGGGAGTAGTCATTCAAAGAATGAGAATATCCTCTAGAGCAAAGAGCTTGAGACAACTTTGCATACCATTGTCTGGAAGCCTGTCTCAAACCATAGAGGGATTTGAGTTGTTTACAAACCAAAGGAGAAGAAGAAGAAGAAGAAGAGGGAGAAACAGATAAACTAGGAGGTATTTTCATGAAAACCTCTTCATCAAGATCCCCATGTAAGAAGGCATTATTAACATCAAGCTGGAACAAGGGCCAGTGCTGTTTTACAGCCACAACAATTAGTGTTTTCACAGTAGACATTTTGACAACAGGGGAAAATGTTTCATGAAAATCAACCCCTTCAACTTGATTATCACCTCTAACTACTAACCTGGCCTTATACCTCTCTAGAGTCCCATCAGCCTTATATTTTACTTTGTATACCCATTTGCAGCCTATAGGCTTTTTACCAGGGGGTAACTCAATAATATCCCAAGTTCTATTAGCCTCCAAAGCCTCAAACTCCTTCCTCATAGCCTCCTGCTACTCAGGGACAACAACAGCCTATGAGTAAGTGTAAGGCTCAGGAATATGGAGCTGTGAAATGGTTGCATTGAATGATAGAGACTCAGAGCTAGAAGAAGCAGGGGTAGAAAGAGAAGTAGGAAGAGCTGAACATACAAAATCCTGAAGATAGACAGGGACAGAATGAGGTCTACTAGACCTTCTAAGAGGAGGAGGATTAGATGATGGAACATAAGAAACATGAACAGGAGAAGGTAGAGTAGAAGCTGAAATATCAGAAGAAGGAGTTGGAGGTAAAATAAAAGAAGAAGGTAGTGGGATAGAGGGGGATGAAGAAGTGATTGGAACAGAAGTTATATGAGTAGGAGTAGGTATAGATGAGGGTGAATCATAAGAAAAATGATCAGAGAAAGAGGAGAAGGCAATAAAGGTGATGGTGAAAGAGAAGATGTAAGAAAAGGAAAAATATGTTCATGAAAAATGACATCTCTAGAGACAAAACAAGACTTAGTGGTGAGATTGTAAAGTTTGTAGCCCTTTTTGGCAAAAGGGTATCCCAGAAAGACACATGGAATAGATCTAGGATGAAATTTATCTCTATGGTCCTTAGGCATAGTAGAGTAGCACAGGCAACCAAAAGACCTGAGATGGGAATATGTAGGAGCCTTGCCAAAAAGTAATTCATAGGGACTCTTGTTTTTTAGAAGGGGGGAAGGGAATTTGTTTATCAAATATGTGGCAGTAAGTAGACAATCTCCCCAGAACTTTACAGGAAGATGAGACTGAAACAAAAGAGCCCTGGCAATTTCTAGCAAGTGTCTATGTTTTCTCTCTACCACACCATTCTGTTGTGGAGTGTGTGGGCAAGAAGTTTGATGAATGATACCTTTTTCAGAAAAGAAAAGTGCCCCAGAAGAAGAGGAACCTAGTTCTAAAGCATTGTCACTCCTTACAATCTGAACTCTAGTTTGAAATTGGGTTTCAACCATGGAAATAAAAGCTTTCAATAGGTCAAAAGCATTGTTTTTAGCCCCCAATAGGTGTGTCCAGGTAGCCCTAGTACAGTCATCTACTATAGTAAGAAAATACTTAGCACCAGAGTGACTAGGAGTGGAGTAAGGACCCCAAGTATCTATGTGAATAAGCTGAAAAGAATGAGTGGATTGAATGGAACTATCATGAAAGGGAAGCCTAGTTTGTCTTGCTAATGGACAAATAAGGCAAGTGAAGGACTGTTTAGAAGACAATTCACAATTAACATCAGAAATAAATTTTATCTTGGAAAATGGTATATGTACAAGTCTATAATGCCAAACAACATCAGAATTATTCACTTTATTTGAAGTAAGTATGGTATTTACAAATGAATTGTCATTCACATCAGCATCAATAGTAGAAAGTACAGGTAAAGAGGAACACAGGTAAAGAAGAAACAACTGAAGAACAAGAGTTCACATGAGTAGACTTAATGGGTGAAGTTACATGCTGAAATAGCTTGTAAAGACCAATGTCCAGCCTACCAAGCACCACTAGCTTCTTCACTGAAAAGCCCTGGAATGTGCAAGCAGACTTGGTAAACTAAACAACATCATCACAATGATTTAAAAGTTTGTGAACACATATGAGATTATGTTTGAAACTGGGAATGTAAAGGACATTATGAAGGATTAAATCAGGGAACAAAGCTAAAGATCCAACATTGGTGACTTTAACTTTGTACCCATTTAGGAGAGACACAAGATATGGAATGGGAAGAGTGATTATGTCAAAAAGTAGGCTTTTTATAGAAGTCATATGATCAGTAGCTCCGGGGTCTATTATACAAACAATGCCATTCACACTAGATAACATACAAGCTCCATAAGAAACACCCTCATAAGGCATGAGCTTACCAGCAAAGTTAGCAGAAGCCAAGAGAGGTGGAGAGTGTGGGGAAGCAGAAATTTGGGATTGTTGTAATAAGGTCATCAGTTGGGAGTATTGATCCTTGGTGAGGCTAGGTATCACAGAAGATTCTTGATGCTCAGTTGGACCAACAGAACTACCAGACACAAAATTAGCACTATGAGAGTCAAGCTCAACATGTGCAGCAGATCTGCGATGAGGAGGTCCTTTGTTGAACTTGAAATGAGGAGGATATCCATGCAGCTTATAGCATTTATCTATTGAGTGACCAGGTTTTTTGCAGTACTTGCAAATAAGAGAATTCCTGGTCCCATCAAAGGAAACCTTGGAAGGAAATGGGGGCTTAGAAGTCCCAGCATGAAAAAAGCAGATTGAGATGAAAACTAAGAGGCAGAAGACACATGTCTCTGTTTTTCATTAGATAATAGAATGATGTACACATTTCCAACAGATGGAAGTGGCTTCATCATTAGAATGTTGTTGTGAGTCTGCATATAGGTATCATTCAGACCCATAAGGAACTGATAAACCTTCTGCTCTTCATCCTCAGCAGCTTTCCCTCCACAAGTACAAACTCTGATCTAGTAGGATGCTATCTCATTCCAGAGTTGTTTGATTTTGTTAAAATAAGAGGCTATGTCTAAAGACCCTTGTGAAATATGGGCTAATTCTTTCTTTAGCTAAAAGACTCTAGCCCCATCAGCCTTACCATATCTCTCTTCCAATTCACACCAAATTTCCTTGGCAGACTCAGAATATTCTACACTACGAGATATCTCTTTTGACAAAGAATTGATCAACCATGAAACAACAAGATTATTACATCGTTGCCATTGGCGAGCTAGAGGAGACCCAAGAGGCAGCTTTGTAGAAGAACCGCTAATAAAATCAAGTTTATTGCGAATAGAGAGAGCAACTAAAATATTTCTCCTCCAGCTGTCATAGCAGGTGCCATCAAACGGACTAGAAACCAAAGAAGTTCCTAGTACATCTGATGGATGCACATATAGAGGGTGACAGGGATGCGTAAAATCATCCTCATGAAACACAGTGCGAGGCACAGTAGATGATGAGGAAGGTGTAATAACATGATTATCATTCGTCATTGTGAAAATATAGGGTAACAAAACACACTATCCAACCAACATTCATCAAAAATTAAGAAATGTGAGGAAGAACTGATTTACCCCCTCTTTTGCAACCGAAAAGAGAACAACCTTTTAAAATCGAAGAAGAGGCTTCAGACGGCTCAACAAAAAATGACGGAGAAACCCTAGCTCGAAAAAGTCAAAATCCTAGCTCGAAATAGTCAGAAAATCAGTCAATATCTCCATCAAAACCGAAGATCCAGTAGAAGTAAGCAAAAATGTTCCGAAAACTTCCAGCAAATTCGGACAAAACCCTAATCCAGCATGAGAGCAACAAAAAATCCAAATTCGACGAAGAACGAGATGATTAACATCGATCGGAAGCAGACAAAGTGAACCATCAGGATCTATGCTCTGATACCATGTTAGATGTTGTAAATCTAGAGAAGAAATAGAAAATGCAGGTGAAGTGTTGCACTTGAGAGAAGCTTCGAGAAGGCGAGAGAAGCCTCAAATATTTCCCATTATCTCAGAATGAATCTGTTCCTCTTGTACAAAGATAGAAACAAAAGTAATAAACATAAATAGTAGGCTTTTGACCCAGTGGCCTAGTCACAACTGATACAAAACTAGAATGGGCCACTACTAAATCTATTTACAACTAATTACAATAAGAGGCCCAACAACAATATCAACCTTTGTCTTCTAGTAATCTAACAATTACTCTACTATTTTGGTTGGATATTTCCTAGTGGTATGAATTCTGAGGAATTATATATGACTGAAACTTTTGGTGCTACAACTACAAGGAAAAATAGTTTGTACTTTGATTGCTTCACCCTATGATTATTAGTTCACCCCAACTCTCTCACTGGGGACGGAGGCACAATAGAAGTTACGGGTTTGACAGAACTTAGTAACTTTGACTTAAATTTTGTATTTGTATTAATTTTTTTATTTAATATGTATAAATAATCAAACCTAATAAATGAAAGGATTGTAATTCAGAATTCATAAACTTAAAATTCGAGAAGTTAAGATTTTTATTTCTAAATAACATCTCTGAGAATGACTATCTGTGTACTTGCCCCACAAATTGGGGTGTGTGTATATATATGTGTGTGTATATATATAAACCAAACCCATTTTTCATTATTTTGTTCGTTACATTTTTTTAGGGCCAAAAGGATGGTATTTGAGATTTATGAGAGTGGATGAATCTCATTTGTTACTCATTGTTCACTTTTTTTTCAAGGAAATGAACTAACATAATTACTTCGAGTAAGAATAATAGTTACAAGAAAATAAAATAAAATATAAAAACTCATGTTTGTTGATACCCAATTTTTTCCTACGTATTTTTATACTCAAAATACTTTCAAAATAGCATGTGTATGCATATATAAGCATGCCCAATTGTTTTGGTATTTTTCCGAATTTTTAAAGATTTTTAAAACCAATTTATTGTCTATTTTAGAAGTGCAAAAGCCAGTAATTATTTCCAAAATTATCATTCTCATATTTATACCAAAATATAGTTAAGGTGATATTTGTATATTTTTTACAAATTTATTTGGTATTTTAAAGCTAAATTACATATAATCGCAATTATAGCCTACTTTACGATTAATAGCGTTTTACAATTATAGAATTATTTCCAGCATTTTTAGATTAATATTTATGTATTATTAATTGGTTCAGTGCTTTTAATTTTCTTTTAAGAGTATTTTATTATTTTTATAAAATAAATAGGGAAAAATGGCTATTTAATATATAGCCAAATTGGCTTTCAATTTTAGCCCAAAATCAAACCCCAATTCCACCCAACTGAACGACCCAATAACCCGACCCATACCCTTTCCTATCATACCCAAACCCGGTCCTCATTTAACCCGTTTAATCCCAATCGTTGATCTTTTAGATCAACGGCTCCCCTCATCCCCTTCCTTTTCTAATTCAAACGACCCCTTTACCCTACCTCATTTCTCACCAACCTCCGCCTCTGAATGCTCTCCACCCTCAAACTCTCTTGAAGGTTCTTCAGAACCCTAGCCATATCCGACCCCTTTGCAACCGCACTTTCACCGAAATCCATGGCTTCTCAGGCCATGGATGGCCTGTACTCACCCTCCTCCACTATTAAACTATGGGTGTTCGAAGTTTCGAGGTCCGACCTCGATGGTGTACTTTCAGATCTCTATAGATCCAAGGTTCTATGGCCTCTCTGGCCTGGCTCCGACGTATTCAAGCATCAGAAGCCTATTTCTGACCTCATCCGACCTAGATCGGACCTTCTTCCAAGCCTCTCTCATTTCTAGGGTTTCTCTGAAACCCTAAGCCATTCGAGGTTTTTCTCTGGTTGTTTTCTTATATCTATGCTACATCTATGTTCTACTGGAGTTTTGAAACGTTTTCCTCAATCTTCTTTCAAAATTTGTTTCTCTTCGATTTAGGGTTTCTGAAAAAATCTTAAAATGTTTTCTGACTCTTCTTCTTCTTTTTCTTTGTGTGAATATGTCTATGCTATGTTTGTATGTTCTCTTTTTCTACCTAGCATGTTCTTCTCCCGTATCTCTATGTTGCCTTATTTTGCATGTTCTTCTATTGTGCTCCGTTCTTTCTTCTATTGGTTTCTATATCATGCTTTCACACGTTTATCTTATGTGTTCGTTTACCCCTGTGTTCCTTTACTGTATTTTCTACTAAGCTCTTAGTTCTTATTTGCCTTCTTCTGGACTTTGTTTGAGTTCTTTCTAAACATGTTTCATCTACTGTTTCCTTAAGTTTATACTACCTCTTTATCTTCTGAACTTGTTTAAGTTCCAAGCTTTTCTTAAAACATGTTCTTTATGCTTCAAATCAGCTTTTTCACTATATTTGTTTCGAACCTGCTATTTTACCTATTTGTTTTCTCATGAGTTTCTGAAAGAGACCTCTGAGCATGTTTCAGTTATTTGTCTTCTCGTCTCTACATCTTATTCGAGTTGAAAACCCTAGGATTTGGGGTTTTTGGCGAGTTTGATCTTGTGCTTGGACTAGGGTTCTATTATAGAACCCTGGATTCTCTCAAACTAAGTTTGAGTCTATGTACTGAATTTGAGCCTCTTTGTTTATGACTCTGAACTTTTCTATAATAGATTCTTTCTACTGATTTCACAAGAGCATGACAATCTTTCTTTCCCGTGTCTGTATGCTTTTATATGTGACGAATCTTTCTTCAAAAGGGTTTTCAAGCTAGTGATTGATTCAGAATTCCTGTTAAAAAGGTCTAATTGATTGTTTGCTGATTTTCCTTAAGTTAAAAACTTTCCCCTCTTTCTGTCTTGGTTCATTCATACAAAATCTTTGATTTCTGATTTCTTGGCTGTTAATTGATTTTCTTTCCTTAAATGTTACAACCATGTATTGTCAAGACCCTGTCCTTAAATAGCCTTTATGTATTTACCCCTTTTGTGCTACTTTGAAAAGTTTTTAATTCAATTCTTTCCTTAATTACCTTCTACCCGTTTGAAATCAAATCCCTTAACTGAAGGAAAATTCTATGTGATTGATTGCAAGTTATTTTCTTACCTTTCTTACTTGTTTCTCTGCACTATAAAAGGGGCTACCCTTCCGCACTTTTAAGACACGGACAATTCAATATTTTTACAACACACTTCGAATTGCATACTCTTACACACACACACACTCTCAATTTAGCACTTTGCACACATAATCTCACAACTCTCTTCTAAGATTTTCTGACTATTTGCTTGCAATTTGGCTTACAAAACTTCTGCTTTCACTTATTTGTTTCCCTGAAACTGATATGTCCTAATTTTGATTCCAGCATCATCCCTATGTGTTTACTTCACATCTTCAAGCTTATTGTTTACTTTATTGTTCATATGCTGCTGTTTGCTTTACTTTCTTGCGAATGCTTGATCCCTATACCTTTACCCTCTATGTGTTTGTAAATGGGGATTCGGGGCATGGCAACATGAGTTGTTGTCCATGAACTGAATTTTAACCCCAAGTAAAAAGTGTCAGTATGTTTTATTGCTGATCATATCCTTTGCCCACTTTTCCTTTGTCTACTGTTTCTGTTATGAATCCCCTACCCTTACTCCCTATGTATGCTGAGCCTGGCTTTCAATAAGCCCTAACTCCTCAACTTGAAATGACAAGTTGGTAAGGGGTGTGCCAGTACTTCAAGTTGCTTGGCATGACCACCAGCTTATCACTCCCTTTCCCCTGCACTTGCAACTACTCTTAGATTTTAAGTTCTGCCCCCTCCTATGAGCCTTGCTTTGGGACCTTGAGTTCCCTCTGAACTTGGACATTTGAGGGCTGGCCCTTCCGCACTGCACTATGTCCTTGATTCTAAAATATATTTGGGGTGTAAGCATTGCTCGGAGCCCTTTGAGACTCTTGGGAACTTTGACACATCCCAAATAAGAGAAAGGCTTTGGAACTTGACCTTTGGAGTTGGTTTACTTCATGCTTCAGACAGAAGTCTGAATCAGGCTCTCCTTGGTTGGGATTTTAGCTTTCTGATGTAATTTTATTTTACTTTTCTTTATTCATTCTGGGTTGTAATAATTTGTAATAACTTATGGGATTTTAGTGAAAAGGGGAGGGTCACTCATGTATGCATAAGGGTAGACATCATGCTCATTAGGTCTTTAATTCTGCAAATCATGGCAAGTTCGGCATTTCAGAATCTTAGAAATCCCGCTTTAGGTTCTGCACTTCTATATTTTCATATAAAAATCCTGTTTCAAATTCTGCACTTCCGCATTTCATATGTAGAAACCATGTCTATAGGCTTCTGCACTTTTGCATTCTTAGAAATCCTGTCTATAGGTTTCTGCATTTCATACATAGATACCCTGTCTATAGCTTCTGCATTTCATACATAAATATCATGTCTATATCTTCTGCATCTCATATAGAGACCATGCTTATAGGTTTCTGCATTTCCGCCTATCATATAGAGAACATATCTGCAGAGTTTCCTGAATTCTGCATATGCATTT